AAGAGTGGATTTTAATGGCTTTCTGTCATTTCTGAGGAGCTTGGCAGTTACTAGGGAACTTCTAATAGAGCCACAAGCTACAAATAGGTACATTTTAATTATGTATTATATCATATATGCAGCACTCATGTAGGACTTTCCCCTACAGCCTAGTCCTGGTGTTCAATGGTGGCCAAGAAATGGCTCAACTGATTCTGGGTTATTCTCTACTGGAGAAAAACTGAGTTGGGGGAAGCAGGAGGACAAGAGTGGCACTGGGGAAAAGGAATTGGGAGCCCCTGTGGAAAGTTGGAGAAGAAGCTGGGGCAAAAGTAGAGAGAGAAGGTGAGGGTCAGGTAAAGAATACCGGCCTAATGGGATATAAGTTTGTGGGTAACTCAGCAGCCAAAGTCAGTAAGTCCTGGCAGCCACTATGTTAACTATTGTCTTAATAGCTGGGTCCTGGCACTGGGTTGCATGCTGCACAGACCCAGTATTGGCAGCTGTGGGACTCTGGACCCTGGCAGCTGCAGGGTGATGCTGGAACCCAGAGTTTACAGTTGCTGAGGCTGAGAGTCCTCAGCAGTTACAGGACTCCCAACTGGGCAAGGTGCACCCCTGTGGCTTAGAGCCCTATCAGCTGACAGGGCTCCCAGCCCCAAGGGAACCTCTGATACATATGCAAATTAAAGCTTGATAGCAACCAGCTATAAAATTAGTACACATTTTTTAGGTCTAACTTGATTCTTGGTTAGAGCTTTTTATGGTGTGATAGGATTTTTGCATATGTAGCTGGTCTCAAGGTAATTGGGCAATTAACCAGTTATTGGTTGATTGCATGGTACCTGTAACGTGTAGAGGGTGCCACAGAAGCAGCAATGGTATCAAGAAGGTTTACTTCCATAGTGCTTCCTCAACAGCCCTAACAAAAACAGAATGGAGAACAGTCTTTTATATGGTCATATATATATGTTATTTCCTAAAATGTCATTTCATAGAATACAGAGGGTGATGAAATTGTGCTAAAACCAAAATTCCTTGCTTGGAAGACAAAATCCTCTCACAGAAATGAAGGTGGGTTTGTTCAAGATGTGACAGAACATAATGAAGTTAAATAGGAATCCAAATTAAGGAAAATTCCGATAATGGTATTTTGTTCTAACTGTTGGCATATATTGAGTGACACTGGGTAATTCTTTTACAATGAATAATGGATAATTTTGTCAAGCATACTGTAACTTTATGCAAATTAATCAAATCTAGCTGCAGAACAAACTTTGCTATTCCCTTTTGTATGTTGAAATAGCTAAATGTTAGATGAAGAGAGAAGGGCATGGGGCAGTCAGGGTTCCTGAGCTGATTCCCAGCTTTGCCTTTAAGAGAGTGTCTATATACAGAAATACCATGTTGCTTTTATTTAGTTAAATCAGTGCAACTTTGTGTATGGATTGTAGGACAGGCTGCTCTATCTGTGTCTCCTGAGAAATATTATTTTAGACTATCTGAATTTGTCTTTATTAAACCAAAAGAAACAAGAAGAATGTGTCCCCAAAAGGCTACAGATGAAGGCTGTAATTCAGAATGTATGAAGAATTTCAGTAGTAAATGTACCATGAAAGTGCAAGCTTACTATGCCTATTCTTTCTTATTCACAGTATGGGAACTCATTTTGCATGGATGTCATTCCAAGCATTAAGAATGGATCCAGCCACAAACTGTGATAATTAAATCCTTCCCCACCCTATTTTGTTGACTTACATATTTGACTGACCATACAAGTAAGTTTTGCCAAAAATGAAAAAATAGTCCTGTCTGTGCATTCAGTAGTTAACTAAACCAGGCTAACTTTTAGTACTAAGAAGCAATTTAGGAATGTTTACATGTGGAGTGAGGGCATAGTAGAGATGCACCTTAGAGACTAACTGTATCAGAGATGCATAGGCTTTTGTGAGCAAGAGTTTACTTCATCAGGTGCTGTGAAAGGATTTGCAGGGAGCAGGCTATCAGAGATAGTGATTTAAATACAAAAGACAGGAAAAGGAGGGAGGGAAGCGTTATATCTTGTTCCTACAGGAGCGTGAAGACAGATAGGACTCTTATCTAGAATGTCTCAAACTGTACTCTATAAATGAAAGCCTATGGTAACATGTGCTGAAGGTTTTACGTTTTTGAACTCGCACACAGGGGCTCATTACGTGTGCCTGGATCTGCATAGTGTGCAAGGGAGAGAGAAAGAATACTTAGGAAAGTAAAGTCTACTTGAGTCTAGAGTTGCTTCGGATGCTAAACTTCCCTAGAAGAAGCAGGATTCTGACCTGCCTTCACTGTCTCCACTAAATAAGCAAATGGAGCTTGTCAAGGTTTACATAGCAGCTGAACTCTTCCTAGGCTCTTGGACCTATGATGCCTCCATAAAAATCTTGTGCAGTGCTTCCCAGAGAGTCATCATTGGAACTGAACTGAAATGATTTAATAGCTTCTGCTACTGCATTGTTAATCATGTAGTTCTATTATTTATTTAGTTTTGTTCTTCAATATTGGGATTTTGTAACTTTGAGAAGAACAGGAAGGAAAGAAAGTCCTTTTTGAAGGAGAAGCTAAAAGGAGATATTTCAAGAGAAAGAGAGAGAGCCAGGAAGCTGAGAATTAGACCAGTTGCACAGTCTGGTGAATAAAACTGCGTGTGTTTGTGTGGAAGAAGATGTGTGACCTCTCTGTGATATTCTGGGTAGGGAAAAAACACAGACAACAAAAAGTATCATCCACTGGCTTCTTCAGATTCATCTTATGTAGAGTTAAATTACACCTGGTCCTGCGCAGGTTAGCTGGAAAGAACAGAAGGCATTGGGGAAGGTATTTGCCTTCTTTGCAAACCCCAATAGCTATATGGAGGTGGCCATATTTGAATTAACAGTGCTCTCAGATTCAGGAAGAGAAAAGTTTGGCCAGTAATGCTGGCTTTTCTGAACAGTTCAAGGAAGAGGTTGTAGTTATACTATCTTTGTTACTTAGTGTCTAGAGAATGGCTAAAGAGAGGAGCTTGGGGGCTGTCTGAGAAACTAAACCCAGTGTTATCTTTATGTTCTTCAGGAAATAGCTAAATAAAAGTGATGCCTATCTTGTTCCTCAGGAATATTACACTTTACCTATCAGATGGTGCTAGAAAAGCTAGGCTGCAGGGAATGCAGACTTCCCTTTGAAATGGTGCAGCAAGCGCTATGTCTCCCATGCCATTCTGGCATTATCCCATTAGAGGCCCCATGGTCTCTCCATGTGCTTCAGAGAGTTATGCTCAAGCAGTGCAACTAATCCCACTGCCCAGCATGATTCTACCTCTTAATAGTCATGATTAATCCCTGATTGTGCTATGTGCACACACAGTGGCTCAATGCAATGTTTAAGGATATTTTTCCCAACCCTGAATTCCTAGGCTATGCACAAGCATTGGATTTGATATGGAAGCAGTCCAGCTGGGGCCTAATGGGAGCCTTAATGAGGTCCAGGTTCTCAGCACTTTGAGAGGAGAACCCCTCAAAATAGGGTTCCCCTTTTAAAGGAGTAATGCTTTACACTCTGAGCTCATTACAGCTTAGTCCAAGTTTAGTCACTGTAAATAGGTCTGAGAAGAGGGGCAGCGGGACATTATTTCACTAATAATGGGTTATGTAAACATGAGCTATGCAATGCACTCCTGTGCAAGTCCAAAACTCAGAAGAAATAATCACTATAAATGAGCACAAATCACAGTGAGATATGTTCTTTAGATTTCTTCACAAGTTATTGTGGATGCACTTTGGCTTTGCACTATCCCATCATAAAAGAATATTGAAAGTATTTTATTACAGTTCCTGCTTTCTGACATTTTATTGCTTTAAAAAATAGATAATGAATTCTGGCTCTTTTGACTGAAGGTGTAAAGCGATGTCCAATGTGAGGTCTTTTGCATCACTTGTGGCCTTTTGCCCAGTCCATCTGTCTTCTGGTGTCATTCCTAAACCACAGAAGGATATTATTTATAATATTTAAGCCAATATTTGCCAGTAAATCTATACTTTTCCCAACGAACTGTTAGTGGAAAATCTTGGTTTTAAATAATCATGATTTTACACCTTTATAGTAAAAATGGGAAAGAAAAGAGAAGTATGAAAGGCTGTACAGTTTGCTGAAGAACACATGAAATGGAGTCTAAAGGGAAATAAATGTCTTGTTCCTTTAGCTGAATCAGTTTGGGAGAACTGTAGGGAACTGAACCAGGAACAAAAACTAGGCAGTGCTCTCTTCCCTTTTTCAGCAAATGGTATATTCCCCCATTAAAAAAAAAGTAGCAGCTAATACTCAAGAAGGTTTAGTTACTTACAGATATTTCACAATGTGAAATAAATTATCTTTATAATGTGCCAAATGTGGCCAGTGGAAGACAGGAAAAAAATGCTCATGAAAATATTATCCTTTTTTTTTCCCCATTGAACATCAGCATTTCAGTAACAAATATTTCATCAAACTTTCAAGTTTTTTTTTGAGCATCTGGTCAAAGTCGGAATGAATTTTTATGATATTTCAGCCCTTTTCCCATTGAAATTTTAAAATGTTTTGCAACTTTCTCTCAGCTGTAATGTCAAGTTATTTAATATAGGCTGTGAAAACAAATATCAAACCATAATATTGTTCAAGTTCAATTTTGTGCTGCTTTCTGCAAGAGTACCACTCTAAACTCCAAGCAGGGGTGGATGCAAGGGGATGCACTGGTGCATTTGCACCCCACTTTGATTCCAAAGTTTAAAACCAACTGCCTGACAGTGGCAGCAGCATTTCTAGTCAGGCAGTGCTGAGGGCGTCAATTGACTTCTCGGCGCATTATAATCTACCGGATTCCTTCTAAACTCTCTATTCCACAGATGTTACTGACCCTCTCTTCTTTTTAATGGTCTCGATGTTCCACCAGTCAAGCTTTCCTTTGTTCTGCAGTTCTGCTGTCTGTTAGCTGCTCCTGGTTAGAAGCTCCTATTTCACAGCCATGCAGATTGTTTTAACTCAAGGAAATAATATTTGTTTTGCTTCAATGTTAACCTGAATAATACAGGCCTAGGCTCCTAGCATATTAATAAAGC